CCATTCGCTCATTTTATCCATGATAATCTAGCCATTAAGGAACGCACAGATCAGACACAACAACTCTTAACCACCATTTATCGCTCGATGTATATATACATATATTTCGCACTCATCACTCTCGCTCTCTTCCGCTCACACACGGCTTCCACTGCCTTCACCAACCACCAATTTCGCTTCACTCAACTCCGCTCACCTTTATCCATTTCCTTCAATTTTGTTCTTTTATAGTTTTGTCTTTGGACTCGCTCACGAGCGGGTCTCTTTATCGTTTTTTCTGTCGCTTTTCACTAGATTAAATTTTGAAACTTAAAATCCCTATATTCGACCTAGAAACTCACTAGTCAAAGAGTATAAATAATTATGATAAACGATTCAGGGTCTACAACTATATTTTATTCTCGATATCTGATGCCCACAATAGTCCATTACACAGTGTTTTCGACCACGAATTCTCTGTAATAAAAACATACAAAATCGTCCATGTCATAATTTGACGCCATTGCCGGGAATTTTAAACTCAAGAAATTAAACAATCTTAGAAAAGATCTAGTGATGCACCATAATTTACCTTTAAATTCTTTAATTTTGTTTCGATGTTTTATGATTCCTTTGTTGTATTTCTAACTTTTTGTTTGGTGTGGCAATCCTTATGTAGGGGTCTGAAGCGTTTTCAGCGTTCAACCAATCCAACTCCTTTTTCTTGTATGCAGAGACGTCTGTTCAAAGAACTGACAAGAGATAGGATGATGGTGAGCCAAGGAAATGCCGTTGTCCCCTCCATTGTTGTCCCAACTTTCTAGACTGCCGCTGGGATTTCCTCTAACTCTGCCACATCTGCATCGTCGTAGGAAGTGTTGCTTCAGGTCCCTATTGTAGTCCAACCTATTGTCGTCCCGCATGTTCTGACAGCTACTGAAGAGCAGCTTGTGACGCTCACTAGCATCCACCAGGGGATGGTTGGACTACAAACGCACCTCGCTCAGGTTGAGAAGACTCAAGCCACTCAGGCTGCGTTTATCCCTTCCCAAGTAGCTTAAGCCGCTGCGACACCCACCATCATCGCTCCTCCTCCACCCGCCCCTGCGACACCCACCCGTTTTATTATTTTTAAAGTAATATTAACCAATTATACATATATATATATATATATATGCATTTCACTATCTTGCAAACTAGCCATGGCACCAAAGCTCCAAGGTAGTGACCTCATAAAGACCTCGGTGTCCGGCGATTGTCATCTCTTAAGATCAATAGAGATTCACACGTCATTCAAAAGTCATCTTCGTTGTCGTCGTTGCCGTCGTCGTCGAATACAGACAATCACTCCTTGTCGTCGTCAGAAAAGCGCCAACCGGTAATTATATACATGCAATCGTCAAAAGTGCTTCACGCGCAATCTCGTGATTTTAGGGCTTTTGTTCAAAAGCTCACCGGATACACGCCGTCGGATTGGGAAACCGTGGATTTGAACAAAGATGGGAATTCGTCGAATCTGGAGAAGACAAAACCGATGTTTTTAGATAGGAGCAAAAATAATCTTGCTCGATCCCAACCACGACAGCCGCCGTGGAGATCAAACAAGACAAATCCAACATTTCTTCGACCTACACGGTGCCTTCGTCGTAATTGATCGATCCGATGATATTCGCCTCTAATTCGAGCAGTTTTTTTTTGTTTTTTTGGTCCTTCAATTAGTAATTCGATGTTTTCGTTTTCCGGCATGGCGAATTCGATGTCTCCGGCGATGATGGATTTCGTGGAGGGATGTACTGAATACAATTAATTTAGGGTTAGGATTGGACGAGAGAATGAATTGTCCATACATTTTTTGTATGGCATTTCATTTTAGGATTTGGGAAAGAGATAAATTGGATGGAGATGATGAAATAATTATTTAATTAGATTTTTTAAAGGTGAAATGTCATAGGAGGAGGATTAATCAAGGTTAGGTTCATCCATATACATGAAATATCCAATTTTGAAGATAATAAGTTGTTTATTTGAGATTGATTTTTTACTTTTTATTATTTATTTATTTATTATTATTATTATTTTTTTTTGTGATGGTTTTGTACATTAACTCTATCAATGAGATATATAATCTTGAGCCGGCTAATAGAATAAGCAACATGATCGCTGTTTCAAGAAGGTTTATATTTTTTTATTTTATCTAATTATTACTGGATATAGTAAACTATAATTTAAATTTTATTTCATATTTTTTTCTAAAAAATGACTAATTCTAATTATAAAAATAAATTCTAACCATATTTTTTGTGTTATTCTTATTGGATTAGTATATTTTATTTATGGGATATATTATTATATTTGTTTAACTTTGAATATTAATACTCTCACCGTCCACAGTGAATTTTATTTTATTTATTTTTTCCGTATTAATTTTTAAATATTAATTATTAAATAAAAATATAGTATAAATTAAGAGAAAAAATAAAAATAATTAATATTTTATAATAAAAAAATAAAAAAATATTCTTATTATTAAAAATAATAACACAAAATATAAATGAAAAAATTGATGGCAGATAGAGGGAGGGAGTATTATATTTATACATAATAAAAACTGAGAGAAAAAAATATATATATATCTTCATTAGCATTATATAATACAAATACAATTATATTTGTATAAAATATTATGTAAATATAAGTATATTTTTAATATTAAGTACAATAATAATAAATATAAATAAATGAAAAAAAAAAGTATAATTTCTGATGGTATTAAAATGCTGATGGTATTGCTGATTGATTAAAGGTGGAAATCGAAGATGGATAGATTAGTAATTTTACATTTATTAATACAGATCTGTCCATTTATATTGAAGTTTGATGTGCATAATTACCTAAAAAAAATATTTATAGTTCACTCATTGTTGTTTGTAAACTATATAATTTTCTTTCATAATTTAAAATTTTAATGTATTTTAGAAAATATTATACAAAATCTTATTTTTTAAAATTTTGTGTAATATTTTTTAAACTGTGAGGGAATCATATGCAACTTTTGAATTTTTTTTTTTAAGAAAAAAAACATGAGAGAGGCTCCCTTAATTTCTAAAAAATTTTGTAAAATATTTTCGAAAATATTAAAAGATTGGATTATTTTATTTTATTCTCTTTGTGATTTTGAATTATGATATAACCGTTTAATCATATTACATGTGCTATTTAAATGATAAAGAAAATATCGAACTTGAAAACTTTAGCTATGGGTGGCAATTTTAGGCCCGTTCGGTTTTTTGTGCTGAGTTGACCCAATCCATTTGATATGGTTTACAGTCGGACCTATGAGCCCAAGTTCGAAGACGACCCACTCCGAAACGTGGCGGGTCATTCTAAGTTATTTTTTAAATCATTCTAAAATAATCTAATAAAACTATTTATGATAATTTTGACAATTGAACCTATAGCCCAAAACTAATAAAATAAGAATTCAACCATTAAATTATTTTTTATTTTTAACATATATTTATTTGTTAATATATTTATAATAATATTTATTCAAAAATTAAATTAATATATATTTGTTAAATATATTTAAGAAAAATATATTTATTAAAAACAAAAAATGAGACGGACAAAAAAAAATTATGTCATTTGTGACGGAACGAAAAGAATAAAATAATAGAGTAGATAAAAAATAGTAGAAAATTGATTATCATTTGTTAAAGTAGGTATTATAAAATTATGAGTGATAAAGTTATTTAATTTATGTATAAATTTAGGGGAAAAAATATATATACTTTATTCATCTCTATTCAAAGTAGCATTTTTATTATTTTAATATATTCCACTAAAGAGTATCTATTTTTTTTTTTTATTTAATAACATAGAATCTAAAAAGTAAAAACTACATAAAAAAATCTCAAAAAACAAAAACAAAATATACACCTCCTAATTCTCTTTTTTTTTTTCATTATTCTCAATTAATTAAAAACAAAAGTGTCACTAACAAAAATATCACTATTCCGAAAAATCAATAAAATAACACAACCAAACAAGCGCACTACCCGCAATTTCCGAGGACATAAATAATTTGTTTTCCAACAAGCAAGCTGTTTCCAATATCCCAAAACATACAAAAAAAATTTAGTACTCCCTTAGTTTCTGTTCAAATGGTATACTCTTTCGTCTCGTCCGATGCAAGATTGTCGTTTACGTTTATTACATAAATTTTTTAATATTAATATTATAATAAATTGTAGTGAAAATAATAAAAATATCTCTATTAGTATTATATAATATAAAATAATAGCATTTATGTAATATAGTGTAAATTAAAATGATATAGAAAATGATAACCTTGTTTTGGGACAGACAAAAATAAAAAATAACTAGTTTTCAATGGAATGAAAAGAATAATAAATTAAAAATTAACAATATTTTATTAATTAGTGAAAATGTATAAAAAAATTTAACAATTTATTATTAACTTTATGTAAAAAATAATTGTATATGTAATGATTTATTTATAATTTAGTTAAAAATTAAAGATATTTTGATATTAGTATACGATTATTTTTACTAAAATAAAAAAATATACTCCATTCGTCCCAAACACCTTGCAACATTTCCTTTTTGGTATGTCCCAAACACCTTGAAATATTTTTAAAATATAAAATAATTAATTATACTTAATTTATACCCCACACTTTATCCCCTCACATCATCTAAATAAAATAAATAAAATATATATTTCTCTCTATGCGACATCACCTAATTTCTAAATTATCCTATTTAATATTACTCATCTAAAAACTCGTGCCAAAAGTAATTTAATATTACCCATCTAAAAACTCATGCCAAAAGTAAATATTGCACCGTATTTGGAATGAAAAAATATATTTTTTCAATTGAAACGTATATAACTAATAAAAAAAAAAAAAAATTGGAATTGGGAGGAAGGAGTGCAATTTTAATTATTTCTACTAACAAAAATGTTATTGAAAAAATAATAAATTATTCACAACACCTTATTAGAATGACATGTTTTTTTGTCCCATTACAAGTCAACAAACAAATTTGCACCTGGACTCCAACGCCGATAGAGACACAGCTCATCATTTACATTGGGTCCACGTCAATTTTGTGGTGTACATCCACCTGGACTTTCGAGATCCCGGACCTTCCAGAATCAACAACTATCCAGAGTCCGTCCTAATAACGGCGTCAGGATCCCACCAGGACTCGCCGTTAGACTCGGCGACGCTCTCTAACGGCCGCGTTACGTTCCTCACGTCACCAACCGTTACGGTCATGCCGACGTCATCCCTGACGTAAACCCGGCCAATGCCGCCTGTGGAGACGGCGGCGACGCCCGCCGCCGGCGAGTTCCACTCGGCGTAAATAGCCGGAATATTCCGCCGCATTCTGGTGTCGTAACCGCCTAGAATTACGCCTCCCTTCCCATTCCCCTCCGCCAAGTACACCACCGGCGATTCCAGCGGCGCCGCCGCCGGAGAATTCAAAACCACGGCGGAGAAACCGCTCGCCGGCGGATCTGGATCGGATTTCCAGGTCGAGACCACGCTTTTCGAATCGTAACCGAACAAATCCTCATCAAAATCAAACCTCAACCCCAAACCATTCCAGATCTTAACAACACTCTTACCCTTACCACCAGGAACATCAAACTCCGGCGACGCGCCACCGCGGCATCTCCGCCTGAAATGACCATTCTGCCCCTGGCTTCTGAACAGAAGACGCGATCCTTTAACCTGGAAATCTCCGTCCGCCGAGCAACGACGGCTCCGAAACGACGTCGTATAGCTAACACTATTATTATCTTCTTCTCCGTCGTTTTCATCCTCCGACGACGCTGAACAAACCTCATCCCGATCGCTGAAATCAACAATCTCCGCAGAAGGTTTTACAGTAAATCGAATCAAAACGAGCTTAATCCTCTTAATCAAACTGTTAAACGTCGCGAAAACAGCGAAAATCAAAGCCCCCAAAGTCCAGAAACTGTAAACCTGCGAAACAATTTCCTTGCCGGAAATGGAAGAGAATCGCGAAAGGAATGAGGGGTTTTGCAGCGATTTCATCCCCACCTGGAAATCGGTTATCATGTTAATCTCGGTGATCTCCATCCTGTTCTTGCTGGATTTCTTTCCTTCCTGAGTAGAGCAGAGTAGATCTGGAAAAGCAAGAAAGCGGAGATTTGGGGATTTGGTGAGAATTATGGGAAAGGGGAAATGGGAGGTAGGGAGGGAAGGAGGTTTCTTGTGGGTTTAATGGATAGGTGTGTACACACGTGTGTTCTTTTATAAACCTTTACTATATTTTAACAATATTAAATTAAATATTTATTTTTATATTATATTAAAAATTAATTTTATATTGTAAATATGACACTTTCTTTTGTCCCATAATTAGTATTATATTGAAATATAGTAGCAATAAAGTAAAAATGACTAAAATAACCTTTATTAGTATGTGTGATATAAATGTAATGACATTTGTGTAATATATTGTAAGTTATAAAGATATTTGTAATGTTAGGTAGATAGTATCGTTACTTAAAAAAAAAAGAAATAAATACTTTGTTATGGAATAAACTAAAATAAAAAAATAAATAATTTATTATGGACCGAGGGAGTATCAATATTTATTTATATCTAAAAATTAAAAAGTAATACTTCTTCATTTTTCCGTGTTACGACTATAGTCCTATGTGTGTTAGCAGAAAATTTTTTTAAAATAATAATATTATATTAATAATCGATAGATATTATAAGAAAAATATTTTTTTTTTTGTTTTTGCGAGTATATTAATGTAAAAAATAGTGACATTTGTGTAATAATAATAAAAAAGTAAAAATAATTTTATAGTGGTATAAGTATTTATGAAAATAAGACTATGGGTTTAAGACGAACAAAAATGATAAGTAAGATTATTGTATTGAGACGAAAAAATATTATTTTAATATAAAAATAGGATATGTAAAAAAAATTAAAATATTATAGAAAAAGTATTAAAAAAATTAATAATAAAATAATTGGATAAATAAATAAATAAACATAATGGTAAATTAGTTATATTTGTTAAAGTATGCATAATTAAATTATAAACAGATAAAATTATTTACACTTAATTTTTATAGAATAAAAAAAAAATGACATGATTATTGAGTATAAATTTTTTTTCTTAAAAAATAACAAAATTATAATTATATATATGAAAAAAGAAAACTACGCAAAACTCATAATGTGGTCTAGCCCCTTAAAACATTCTTATTTAACGATGTTTGACTTACGTGCTACCAAATTGCGTATGAGTTCCAGGATTTCAATTTCTAAATTCCTAAAATTATTAATATATTTATTCATCTTATATTTAACATCAATAAAAAAAATCTTAAAATTAGAAAAAAATAACTATTTATGAGTTTATTTACGGTTTCTTGATGCTAAATATAAAAAAGAATGAATATAAATAAAAAATTTAAAATTCATTTCCAGTTTGAGCACGTGCTTATCAAACATCGCTAAATAAAGACGGTCGAGAGAGTTAGACGCATAATTTATAAAATTATAAGGGAATTTGATACAGTTTTAAAAGTACGATGAATTTGACACAATTTTGTGAAATTACAAATGAATTTTGTATAATTTTACTTAAAGGTCACGTGGTGTTGTCTCGAAGGACACATGGATAATATTAACTTTTTATTAAATTTATTTTAAATTTTAAATTTTATTTTTATTTTTATATTTGTAGATTTTTTATATTTTAAAAAAATAAAAATAAAAACAATTCAGGTGGCGGACACGAGACTGTTTTTAAGACAGCCTCCAGTTACGTGACTAAAATAATAAAGGAGTACCAGTTTATCCAAAAATTAATTTATACATGAAATAAATTATAAAAAATATCAAAACTATCTTAAGTATATACTAAATAAACATTATTATTTTTTAACTTATTATATAAATCCAAAAAATACTTTGTCCAAACATAAAATATACAATTGATTTTACATTATTGTATTTAACATTAAAATTATTTTTATATTTGTATAATTTATTTCACATATATCATTGTATTTGTATTATAATAGACTAATGAAAATATTTTTTTTTTCATTTTCTTTTGATCTGTACTATATTTTGATATAATAATTAATACAAAAAAACCTAGAAAAAAAAAAAACTAACTTTATACGATTGGACGGAGATAGTATAAAATTATAATAACCAACATATATAATTATTATTTTAAAATAAACAACATAAATAATAATTAATATTTAGATATTTTTTTAATACAATATAAATCCAACATAAATAAACTAAGCAATATTTAAAATAATTTTTCGAACAATATTGACATTAACAAGTTGATCTTGTTTTTTAAAATTATCTTTCTTACTAATGATCCGTAGAGTTTCATTATTGCAATACGCTCGTTACTTTTTATTTTTTCTTCTTTCAACTGTGTCATGCGACCTTGTTATGTTAAATTATCTTTTTTTACTAATGAGTACATTTGCATTGAAAAGCACAACAAGGGTGTGTGTAAAATTTTTTGTTGTATTGATCATTTCAACATTTAATAAAAAATATTTACAAAAGCCAAATGCAACATACCTACAACGGTTGTTGTATATTGCAAAGGAATGTGGTTTTCCTGAAATTGTGGAAAAATTATTCAGCTATTTGGAAAAAAACAATTTTGTGAGGAGATCATGGAAAACTAACTATTGTATTAGAAGCCACGACATCTTATGATCAATGAATTTGATTTTTTTTTTCTTTTTTTTCGGCGCACCAAATACATACAATGACATTAACGTACTTACCAATCTCCAAATTTTAATGATCTTTTGAATGACAGAAGTTCAACAGTGAATTTTATTGTCATCGATTATCAATATAATATGAATTATTATTTTATTTAATGAAATATATCTTCCATTAGTGATGTCAAAAAGAGGCTCGGAAAGATGTAGAACGTGTTTTTGGTGTTTTACAATTTTTATTTGTTATTATTCGACACCCATTGCTCATTGAAGATGAAAGTGATAAATATATACATTATTATAATATATTCCAATTTTAACAAATAGAGGTGGATAATATTAGCAGCTCGAGTTCATAAAAATTGAATGCAACTTCGAAACAGACGAGCACATGAACGACTTCAATTAAATTATCTTGTTTCTTTTTATTTTAATACTAAATATATATGCTGTATTTGTAATGTATTGTTCATTTTTCATAAATTAATTATTATCTCTATATTTTATTTTAATAATAGATAAATAATAAATATATTAATAAAAATATAATATTTAAAAAAGATTTTAATAATAAAACTTAAATAATTAAATTAAATTAAACGAAATTGAATAATAAATAAATTAAAAATATTAAATATTATTTTCAAAAATTAATTATAGCAAAATATTAATTTATTATTGATTATTTAAAATTTAATAAAGATGTTTAATAAATAAATATATATATATAAGTAGCGTGTAAACCCGTATGATGCACATTTTGTATAAATTGTTGAAATAATATTAAATAAATAATTAGTTATATTGGCAAATATTGTGTAGAATGATACAAATATTCTTAAAACTAATCAACAATTAATACTAAATTTACCTTATGACAAAGTCTTTTTATTGTGCCAATGAAAATATAATTAGTACTATACATATATAAACACAATCGATAAAAGTGTTAATAAACTGTCGTACTTATTATATGTCATTTCATGTTATATATTTAAAAAAGATATTTGTATACTAAAATAATTAACAATGAAATAATATATATATATATCTTTATACCTGTAAAATATGTTTGATTTTGTAAATTTTTGAAATAGAATAATTGATATTCATACTTACAGTATCCTCTTTTATTATCTAATTAGCATCATATCTACACTAAAGATAGTATATAAAATATAAATAAAAAATTACAATGTATTTATAGTTATATATATTCATTTCTTAATTAAACATTTTTATTAAATAATAATATGAAAAAATAAAATGAGATGAATTTCTTTTTTTTTTTTTAATTGAAAATATAAAATAGAGAAGAACATCTCCACTAATATCAAGATGAGAAAAATTCATGTGGTAAAAAAATAATGGAGATACTTGTATTTAAATTTCTTGGTCCTGTTTATTTGTGAGATTTTATTTTGATTTTACTATTATTTTTTCTTCAAAAATATTAAATTAAATATTTATTTTATTACATTAAAATTTAATTTTATATTCAAAATATCATATTAATACATATTTATATCACATTAAAAAATTATTTTAATTCAAAATTTTATTATTTAAAATCAAAATTCGAAACTAAAACTTAAAAACGTACCATTATTTTATTGCTATGTTCTAACCGGATAAGAAATTAGCATTACGCACTCATGACTCAGCAGTGTGTGTATATTAGGGTGTGTTTGTTTGGGATTCGAATAGTAAAAATTTTGAATTTGATTAGTTATATGATGTGATATAAATAGGGCGTTGATGTGATGTTCTAAATGTAAAATTAATTTTTAGTATAATATAAAAAATAAAAAATAGGTGTTTGATTTGATATTTTTAAGAGAAAAAATTAAGATAAATAGTAGAAGTCCACCAAAATCCTCCAAACAAACACACCCAATATTCCTTCCCAAAACTCGTGGTTCGCATTTACCGTGGACAACTTCTGACCACTCCTGTATCCCCACGTGGCACGTGCTCAATTCTTTTGGCCGTGAACATTTAGGGTGTGTTTGTTTGTGGGTTATAGATTTTGAATTTGGATTTTTAAATAGTAAAAAGTTGAATTTGAATAGTTGTTTGATGTGATATAAATAGAGATTGATGTGATGTTTTTGAATATAAAATAAATTTGTAGTATAATATAAAAAATAAAATAAGTGTTTGATGTGCTATTTTTAGAGGAAAAAAAATTGAATAGTAAAAATTTGTGGTAAAACTCACAAAAGAACACAACTTTACTTTTCATATGTATATTTTTTAATATTAATATTATATTAAATTATAATAGAAAAAAGATAAAAATATTTTTATTAGTATTATGTAATGCTATCTCCGTCCGATTTTAAGAGTCTTATTTACCTTTTTTCGTGTTGATATTTGAATATTAATTATTACTGTATATAAAAATATAATACAAATTAAGGAAAAATGAGAAAAATACTTGTATTAGTGTCTTATAATACTATTATAATGATATTCGTGAAAAAACTTATACAAATATAAAGATATTTTTAATGTTAAGTACAATGACGCAAAAGGTAAATAAGACCCTTAGAGCCGGACGTTGAGAATATAAGATAATAATATTTGTGTAATATATAAATTGAAAGAGTATTTATTGTATTAATTAGGTAGTACAATTACTAAATTAGAAAATAGTACTCTTATTTTGAGACGAACGAAAATGAAAAATAAAATCCTACTTTTGACGGAGTGAGTACTACTTTTTTCCGTTTAGGATAAGCTATCCACGTTACGATAGATACGGCAATTCAATTCAGATAAATTATAATTAGTAAGCAAGTTAAAAATATGTTAGTAAAAATAATTATTATATAATAAAAATAATTATAAATTAAGATAACTAAATAATTTAATGAAAATTAAAAAAAGTATACAGAATTTTAAAATGCGATTGAATTTAATCATTCAAAAAAAATTATTATTTTAAATAAATCAAAATAAAAAATATCAATATTTTATATGAGACGGATGAATAATATACTTGTATAGTGTCTCTACGGGCCTATAGGCCTGTCTAAAATTGGCCAAGAACCTTGTACTGTTTTTCTTCATATTTACTAATTAGTCCTGTTTATTCAAAAGGAAGATCGATATCATAAGTAGGATAGATTACATGTGTTCTTTTATACTTCAATTTAAATAAAAATAATTATTCTTTCTATAACAACGACAACAACAAAAATACAGTTTGTAGAAAAGTTCTTTTTCTTTTATTTTATTTATTTTTTTTTTTTTATAAAAAATAAAAATAAAAAAAAAAAAAAAATTTTAACTGATAAACTAAACACATTTTCTTCTAAAAACATTGTCTCAAAAAATTATTTTGTATTTAAAATTCTACATTACATCACTTTAAAATATCCGACTAGCAAGTATTGGAATCTTAAATTTATTTACTATTTTCAAAAGGCAAAATTATTTATAATTTACTTATGATTTGAAAAATTTGCGTTGTACTCTCTTATGATCTAAAAATTACATGAGATTCTAAAAAATACATGAAATCTTGTTTTTTTTGGAAACATTGCACTTAAACCTTTAAAAAATGAATTTTGTGCAATATTTAGAAAATATAAAAAAAAAATTCGTACAATTTTTAAATTATGAGAAAGAATAATGCATACTCTCTATATCATTGGTGGTTTACAAGTATTTTTGGTTTTTTTTTTTTTCAAAATATAAAAAAAATAAAATACAAAAGACACCAACAAACACAATTTAATGCCCACATATGAATGAATTTTATTATCACAACATTCTTCGGACTTAGAAAATCTCACAAATTAAAAGACGTGAATAGTACAATCACCTGATATGATTGTAAGCTATTGCGATCGATACATAAATTTATTCAGTGTACATTCGAAAATAGCAGATACACAAACATTCATAGCATCCCAATAACGATTCATGGCAACTAAACACGACCATCCATTCTTCTTCTTATTATTATAATCATCGAATGTTTACAATTCACAACCGCCCGATACACTTGCAACATTGAATAGCATCATCAAACATTTCCGCAATCCCATATTTATACTTGAAACCAATCTCCAATAGCTTCTTGCTCGAGAGCCCGTCAATGTTTGCCGTAGGATTAATTAAACCTCTGCAACATTAACACACTTAGGTAAATATAACGTCATGTCACAATCAATCGAGCTCTTAATATATATATTTTTTCCGTCCATTTTGAAAGGGGCATTTTGAAATTTTGTAGTAGATTAAGAAATAATAATATTTTATTGGTTCGCGTAAGTGTGTAAAAGATTCTGACATTTTTGTCATTTGATTTTATATCAAAAGTAAGTGTACGTGAAATGGTATGTTTATAATTTAAATAAAAATTAAAAGATATTTTGATATTAGTGTATGATTATTTTTACTAAAAAAAAAAAAAAGTAATACTTTCAAGTGGGACATATAAAAATAATAAAAATGATAATTTGAATTGAGACGAAGAAAGTATATGATAGCGAGTAATTGAACTTACTCGGGATCGAGCAACTTAAGGTGGGGATGCTTCGATCTAAGATGATCAACCATCTCCTCGACCGTAACTTCCATAGCCGAGCAAATGTACCTTCCTTTGGCATCCGGATGCTCGAAAAGATATATGTGTGCCTCCGCGTTATCATCCGTATGCACCATAGGAGTGATCTTCCCGTACTTGATTTGGTTCTCGTTGCCTACGTAAATTCACGACGATTTTCATGATGCCATAATTATATATACATATATTTGAAATTATTTTTTTGACACATTATATCAATCTTCTATGCAATCATAATATTTTTTAAGACAAATATCTTTGAATTTATTTTTTTAAAAAAACTATCGAATCAGATATTTATTTTTTATTTAATATTCCATCCATATATGTTATGTTAAATATGAAAATATTAGCTTGAATTGTAATTTGATGAATAGTATAAAAATATTTTTACAAAATTATTTTTTCAATGAATAATATAAAAACTTAATCAGAAAAACTTACCAAGAATAAGTCCGAGAGACGAGTGAACCGAGCCGGGGAGGCTCGGACAAATAAACGGCCCGTGTATCCACGACGGGATCACCGTTACGAGCTCCAAGCCGTGCTTTTCTGCAAACTCAAGAGCTGCCATTTCCGTCACCGTCTTCGAAATATAGTACCCGACTCCGACAAAGTCGAGTGTTTTCATAAATTCCACATCGCTCCACGACTCCTCGTCCACCTCTGCCGCGGCCCCATCATCACCGCCGCCGCGATCTTTCCCAAAAACCGCCGAAATGCTGGAAGTGTACACCACACGCTTAACGGTCCCGGAGTCGATGCACAGCTGCAAAATCCCGTGTATTGCTCGAATCGATCTTTCCGTGATCGTTTCCGCAGATTCGATCCCGACCAAATCCATCGGATGCGCCACGTGGAACACCCCGACGCAGCCTTCGATCGCCGGCTTGAAGCTCTGCGGATCGCCGAGATCGGCGACAAAGATCCGTAGCCTCTCTCCGGCGTCCGGTAAATTTGTCAGGTAGCTTGTGTCTTTGTTCCTGTCTGAAAATATCACCTGTTTATTTGAGCTTTAAGGTTTGTTTCTTTACTCAAAACACCTACATTTCTATTATTTGGACTTTGAGGTTATGTTTTTTGTTGTGAATTTTATGATTCAATTTTTTTTTCTTTTAAAAATATCACATAAAATAATTATTTTATTTTTTTAAAATTATACTACAAATTTATTTTATATTCTTACATTAACCTCTATTTATATCATATCAAACAACTATTCAAATTCAATTTTTTATTATTAAAAAGTCTAAGCCCACAAACAAACACACTGAGTTTTTCGAAAAAAATTTATTTTCTCCTCTCACAAATTTTTTTTCCAAACCAATCAAAAAAAACATATCCTTAATTTCATTTTTCTTAAAAATTATGCAATTATCGTAATTTTCTATAAAAATAAACGACCTCGAACAGTGGCGTGGACTGAGTAGCCATGTTGAAGAAGCTTCATGATTAGCCAAGAGGCCACAAAGCCTGTACCTCCAGTTACACACACTCTTCCTTTGTTGTTCTTCTCAGAAGCTTCTGCAGGTCCTTCCATGGCTGAAGTAATCTTCACCTGCAAATTTGTTGGTAGGAGGAAGAACAAAGGGCTACAATAGTGCCTTGTATCTGATCTGCCTTTTAATAACGAATAAGGTATGTGTGATATAAGTTGGAAGTTGGGTGGACATTTATTTAATTGATTATTTAATATATATAATTAAAAATACATTTAAAATACATTTATTTTTTTTTTTTACGAATTTTAATAAATATTATGTTTTAATAATAATTAATAATAGTTTTATTTAAAAAAAATAAAATTATTTTATCATTATAATATGTGAAATTATTGAAAAGGATATTGATATAAATAAATATAAATTTGAAAATATTTGTGAGATATTGTGATCCATACTTATTGAAGAAAGAAATTAAGATTTTTTGTTTGAATAACACAAAAAATAACAAAATTTATATTTACCAAAATAAATCGAAGGATCTAATATCTAATTTAATATAAATATATATATATATATATATACTCTTGATTTTGTCTCGCTTGCTATATAACAGAATTTTTCTTTTTTTTTTATAATTTTTTTGGGCCCACTATTTAAATAATAATCTAATAAAATAAAAGAGTGGAGCGGGTGGCGGCTGTAAAAGAATAATAATAATACTTCATTCGTCCATTTATAATGTCACATAATATATTTTTTTTGTACCACATATTATATCACTTTTATAATATCGTATTTTTTATTTTTGTTTGTCGCACATATTATGTCACTTTTTTTTTTAAAAGAATTATATATTTTAATTATATTGTAATTAATTTTACTAATATATTAATTAATTATTTGGAGATTTTCCAGGGGTCACCATCCTCGAGTTCTTTTGACAAGACTCTCGAAAAAGAATGTGCACATTGTTGACATAAATAGTTTATTATATTTAATACTTAATTAACTTCGAATGACCTAATACCGGCTCATCAACACACAAAAGTTGGCCTAGCAGTAACCCAACTCTATGATATTACAAATAAAGAGAGAAAGAGAAGAAAACAAGGGACAAAGAGAAAATACCAACGATGCCACTTCTTTTGCACCAAGTGACGGCGAAGCGTCGTCAATTTTCTGTGGTCGATAGATAGGCCGCTGTGTTGACATTTTTTCGAGGATGAGGAGAATTAAGATCGAACGTGGTTAAATGGCTTCGATTTGTAAGTCACTATTTCTGCTCTAAGAAATTATGCTCTTCTTCTTCTTCTTCTTTTTTTTTTTTAATCAATATGCAATTTATTTTATTAAAAAAAATGATATATAATGCTATGTCCGTTTCATTTCAAAATATTTCTTTAAAATTTAATACTTTTTTCGTCCCAATACAATAATCTTGTTTACTATTTTTGTCCGTCTTAAAACAATAGTCTTATTTTCATAAATAATTATATCACCATAAAAACTACTTCTACTTTTTCATTTTTATTACACAATTGCCACTATTTTTTACTCTAATACACTCACAAGGGCAACAAAGTCTTTTATCCATACTTTTTTATCAACTACCAATATAATAGTCCAACCCAATTAAGACTAGGGAATAGTTGATTAAAAAAATAGTATTTTATTGGGAAAGTTTATAAAAAGTTCTGAATTTTTACCATTTGTCTTTATATATAAATATTTTGATATTATGGTATGATTAGTTTACTAAAATATAAAATAAATATTTTTGAGTATGACATAAAAAAATGGTAAAATATACTTTGAGTTGGGACGGTATTGTATAAATAAATATTAATAATTATATATATTTTTTACGTCAGCCAAATTTATTTTTATTTTTAATTTTATTATTAATTTTGACAAAGTCAATGAATTAACATTTAAGTATTATCTTTTATTCCACACTTATTTATACCAAATACTATTACTTTTTATTATATTTTTTTTTCTTTATTTTTTTTAATTACTAACTCAATTTTCAATAATACTACAAACTATCTTTACAATTTTGTTATTTTTTTTATTAATATATATATTTAATTTTCATGTCGAACCCGAATATACTAATTTTACCGGACAAAGGAGGAATTAATATAAACTTATCATAAAATTTATAAAAATCGTGTATGTTTAGTTGTGATCCTAAATTTAAGCCAATATCATTTATTTTTATATAGTTTCTAATAAAAAATATTTTATTTTATATATCACATTAAAATATATTTAAACAAAAACTTTAGATAAATACCTTATTTTAAATCACAATCAAATAAATGTGTTTTTAAATTTAGTTATTTTTGTTAAATTTTTGATTTTTTTTTTACTTCAAAAATAATGTTGGTATTATACTCCATTCGTCCCAATGAAAGTACTCTTTTGAAATTTTCTACAAAATTAAAAAATAATAATATTTAATCAGTTAGTGGAAATGTATAAGATATTTTAATATTTTTGTCAATTTGTATGTGTAATGGTATATTCGTAATTTAAGTAAAAGTCAATGATATTTTGATATTATTGTATAATTACTTTTACTAAAATAAGAAATAGATACTTTTGAATGAATCGGACGAAAATGATAAAAATGGTACTTTGAGTTGGAACGAAGAGAGTACATGATATATGTTGTAATATTATACTACATCCGTCATATAAGTAGGTCACAATTTGTTTTTTTGCATTATAGTATTTAACATTAAAAATATTTTTATATTTGTATAATTTACTCAACAAACGTCATTGTATTTGTAATATAAAAGACTAATAGAGATTTTTTTGTCATTTTCTCTTAATTTGTATTATGTATTGATATAATAATTAATATTTAAAGATCAACATGCAAAAAACCTATAGTACAATTCTTATGGAACGGAGGGAGTATAATATAATCGAAAATTCGTGTAAAAATTTTAGTATTTCTTCCATCCATCAAAATTATGTAAATATTCTTTTTTTGAACGTTAGTTAAACTTATGCACAATCTATTTATAATAAATAATTTTATCCACCTAAAATTTTACTATTCTCATTTTAACAAATAATAACGAATTTGGCATTATTTTTTCTACTTACCTATGTTTCTTTATCAATCATTTAATTTTTCTTTTTTTTTTTTTTTATAATACATTCACTTTACTTTTTATCTACTCCACTTTATTGTTATATTATTATTATTATTATTATTTTTTAATTTTCGCACTCAACTAAAACTACATATTTTAACGGACTGACAAAGTATTTATTAAATACCATAGGCAAAATGGTACAAAATTCACATGTGGTTTAACAAAATTGTGTCAAATTCCCCATACTTCCAAAACAATGTCATACTCTCTCATGGTTTCATAAACTCTGAGTCTAACCCTATCGATTGTTCCTATTTAACGGTATTTGACCTGCACATGCCAAACTTCGAATGAGTTTCGAAATTTTTATTTTTAAACGTTCAAAATTACAAATATATTTATTATTCTTATATTTAACCTCAAGGAACAGTAAATATATTCACAAATAGTTATATTTATTTTTAAGAATTTGTTTTTTTTTTTACTGTTTTTAGGCTAAATATAAGAATAAATATATTTGTAATTTTAGGAGTTAAAAATAGAGATTTTAAAATTCATTTTCACAGTTTATACACATATGCGTCAAAACACCATTAAATAAAGATAACATAAAAAATTAGACATGAAATTTATAAAACTATAGAAAAATTTGACACAATTTGAGAGAGAGAGAGAGAAAGAAAGAGAGAGTGTGTGTGGGGTTCATGTGGAGTAAGTAGTGTAGCAGTTCAAAAAGTGCGAAAAAGTACGAGAAGTATTTTAGTTATGCTAATAAGTGTTTGGCATATTTGTTGGTTTGTTCTTCTGAAAGGTTTTACCAAAATCTTACTGTTTATTCAAAAATTTTTTTTTCAAAATATTAAATTAACCATTTATTTTTTATTTTGTATATTATACTAAAAATTAATTTTACATTCGAAATATCACATCAACACCTACTTATATCACATCATACAACTATTCAAATTCAAAATTTTTACGATTCAAATCCCAACTCAAAATCCAAACCCCCAAACAAATACACCCCAAGTTAATTTTATGGGCTTAATATATTTCTTTTAAATATTTTCAAATCTTGTTTGGCTTGAGGTTACTTGTAATTTTTTATTTATATTGTTTATAAATATAATATATATATATAAATATGCAGAGTTTATTTATTTGTTTATAGTCTGTATTATACTATTTTCGTCCAGTTGGAACGTAAATACATTCTTTTGTGTTATTATATTTAATATTAAAAAATATTTTTATATTTGTGTAATTTACTCTATGAATATTATTGTATTTGTAATATAAGGGACTATTATATGTATTTTTGTCATTTTTTTATTTGTACTATATATTTGATATAATAATTAATATTTAAAAATCAATAAAAAAAATCATTGTGTACTTTATGACTGAACGGATGTAGTATATGTAGTCTTTTATTATCTATTAAATTATGAGAAATTGTAAAAAATATTATGTACGTATATTCAATTATTACTTTTATCTTTTAATTGTGACTGTAGCGAAATATATCATATAATGTCACAATTTTGTTATTTTAGTACATTGATCCCCTGTCTATTCTAATCGCAGTGACTTGCTTTTCATAAAACACCTTAACAAAATATATTTTTGTATATTTTATAGTTTTGCTAAAGATATCCTATATATTTTAAAGTTTTGCTAAAAGTTTATATATATTTTCTATTATCCAATATTATGTCCCACATATCATTCAATGACAAGGCATTGATTTGGCAAATCGTAAAACTTATGTATGATCAATGTGTTGAATGAGTAAAATTGTGACACTTGAAAGATATATTTATTAAGATAATAATTTAAAAAATAAAAGTAATAATTAGACTATATCAGATATTTTTTGTTTTTAAAAAATATTTTTGCAATTTTTCCATAAAGTTGCATATACTACTTTATTTATTATTTTTTAAAAAAATATTTCAATGCACATATTTTTTAAAATTAGATATAAATTATCTTATAAACCAAACATTAAGCAAATCACATCTCATTAATTTCAAAAGTAAAAATCAAAATGATATATAATCCCAATCTAAAATGATAACAAAACAAAATAG